CCTTATCACTGCCCTTTGAGGTGGTGCAGACAGCTCTGCACTTCCACCCTGGCTCAGCTGCTCCTGCTGGAGACTTTCATCCTGGTTATCTTCTGCACTGGGTTTGCTGTGATCTTTGGCAGGGTGACAGGGCAGAAATGATGTGTGTGGTGAGACAGATCTGCTGGTTCATTAGCAAATTATGTAACTGTGGAGCAGAGCTGCTTGAGGTCCCAGAGGGCCAAAGTCTGAGCCTCCTGGTTGGAGAGGAGGTGGCAGAGCCTTTGCTTGAGCTGCACAGGGAGTCCAGAGCCACTGCAGGCATGTGATCCCTGACACAGCACCTGGGAGCCTTTCCAGGTACAGTCAGTGCTCTCCCACCTTGTGATCACAGATCTGCCACCCCACACTGTTTCTGCAGCAGGAGGACAGTGGGAGCAGATTGGGATGTGGCCTTGTGAGGGAGCTGTGTGTGACATGGGGCTGGGAGGGCAGAGGCAGCTGTTGGCACCAGGGCAGGGGCAGACAGGACAGAAATTCACCGCAGATGCTGGGAAGGTTTCCATGTGACTTAAAAGAAGCAGAAGAAATGTATTGGAACAACGTAGGAAAACCTGGGAGAAGAGCAGAGCCAGTGCCTGACCCTAATGGTCACGTGAAGCTTCTGGAAGACTGCCTTTTGTTCTGCAGGCCCTAAAAGGTTGACTCCATTTCAGATGGTTTTGTTCTCCACTCAGAGTAGCTAAGTTCAAGCAGCTTTTGTCCAGGAGTAATGATCCACAAGGATTGATCTCCATGGAATTCAACGTGGGTTTGGATCTTCAGATCCCAAACTTCAGAGCCTTCTCCACTCTGGTCCCCATATTGGAAGACTGCCTTTTGTTCTGCAGGCCCTAAAAGGTTGACTCCATTTCAGATGGTTTTGTTCTCCACTCAGAGTAGCTAAGTTCAAGCAGCTTTTGTCCAGGAGTAATGATCCACAAGGATTGATCTCCATGGAATTCAACGTGGGTTTGGATCTTCAGATCCCAAACTTCAGAGCCTTCTCCACTCTGGTCCCCATATAAACAGAATTACTTCTTCAGATCCCAAACTTCTGAGCCTTCTCCACTCTGGTCCCCATATAAACAGAATTTGGGTATTTCTGAGCACTCCTCCTAATTTATTGGGATAGATGTTGCTTTTTAACTGTTCCCAGTGGGAGGAATTGAGGCTGAGCCACATCTTCTTGAGATCAGTGCTCAGGTGTCCCAGAGCCACTGCTGGTGCTGCTCTCACACCCTTTCCAGCTAGCACTCAGTGAGTGCAGGCTGTGTTTGCTCAGTACTTCCAGACAGACACAAGATGAAGAATGGTGAATGTGGAGCTGTGAAAACTCTGAATTTTGACATGGTTTCATGGTGTTTAGGTGTAGGCTCAGAGTAGATTCACACTGACATGGCAGAAAGCAGAGGGAAAAGGTCATGGGCTTAAGTGAGCTGTGATCTCTTAAAATGCTGATGAGGAATTCCTGTGAGCCATTCAGGTCCTGATTCAAACCCGAGTTGTGCAGTTCTGTAGTACAAGGTAACTTCCACACAGATGTGTCCCTTCCTCCCTCCTCACCGGTGTGTGCTGAGCTGGAGCTGCAGCTGCTCCTGTTTGAGTACAGCTCGTGGTGTTTACACTGAGCTTACACAGAGCAGGCTGCTGTGTCCTCCCATGGGAAAGGTCTGTTTCCTCTTGCACCTGCACAGAGCAACCTGTGCATGTTCCACAGCCTCTCCTTGCTCTTCATACAGCGATTTTCTCTGCTTAGCTGTGCTCACACCAGTTGAAACTGGGCAAGTTGCTGCTTTGTTGTCATGAGAAGTTTTGGCTGCTCCATCCCTGGGAGTGCTCCAGGCCAGGTTGGATGGGGCTTGGAGCAATCTGGGCTGGTGGAAGGTGTCCCTGCCCAGGGCAAGATGAGCTTTAAGGACCTTCCAACCCAAACCAGTGTGATTCCATGACTGGAACTCTCAGTGTGCTGTTGTATGCTCAGTGCACTGTAGTTGTGGCACCTACACTGTCCATCCCCAGGATCTGCTTAGCTCTGCCTCAACACCCAGTCCTGTAATTGTAATCTGCTGCCTGAGGCAGCAGAGTGAGGCCCCACCTGAGTGAGAAACCTCTTTACAAAGCTCAGAGGAGCTAGTTTCAGGCATCAAACCCTCCTGGCTCCGAGACTGCTTCCGTTCTGCTGCACACAGCAGCCTCTCAGAAACCAGCTCAGCACTCCAGGTGATGCTGAGGGAGTGACTGCTGCCCTAGAGCTCTCCAAGGGAGGTTACACCTTTGGTTTAGCTTAAATTCAAGTCGATCCATGCTTGAATGAAGCAAAAGTAACTGCTAGGAGCACAGACATTGCTGTCTCTCTCCTGCTTCATCCACTTTGCAGCTCCAGTTCCTGAAGGAGGAGAGTTTGTTTTCAGTGAAGCAACTTGCAGCCCATGCCAACCTCCCTTTTTCCCTTCGTGGAGAGGCTGCCTGAAGGAATCAGCTGGTGCTATGTGTCTGGACATTTAAAAATAGCTGTCTCTTTGGGCAGGTTGGAGCTCAGGAACTGCTTTCGTTAGGAGCTCCTTGCTAATCTCTCACTGATGCTGCTGGAGCTGCTGTTACGCACTGCAGGACTCCAGGAACATCACAGCACTCCAGGAACTCCACTGCAGGAATATTGTATGGCTCACAGAAACAGGAACTGAAACACGAACTGCACTAATGTACAGCTTGAAATACACAGGTCATAAACAGTTCACTGTGACTGTTGGTTTTGAAATTTCTTTTTTACGGAGAGAGTGCTCAGGCATTGGAATGTGCTGCCCAGGGAGGTGATGGATTCACCACCCCTGGAGGTTTTCAAGATGAGACTGGATGTAGCACTTAGTGCCATGGTCTAGTAACCACGGCAGGGTTGGATTTGATGATCTTGGAGGTCTTTCCCAACTCAGTTGAGTCTGTGATTCTGTGATTCCTTCTCAGGTGCACAGTTGTTGTACACTGCAAACCCAGAGAAATAGCAGAGGACAGGGGCAACCAGTTTCTCTTCAGGAGACGTGTCACTCAAGAAACAGCAGGATCTGGGGATGCTCCTGTGAGGGCATGTTGTAAGGAACTCCTGCAGGGAATGGTGTGCATTGTGAGGAGAACTGGGGAGGAATTGCTTCACTCCATGGCTCTTACAAACAGGGATCTCCTAAAAGGATTATTCCCTGCCAAGTCCACGGGAGTAGAACAAAGCAGTTCAGGTATGAGCAGAGCTGTCAGATGCAGGGAGGAGAGATTTCTCTGCGATGTGTCTCCCCTGGCAGGCTCTGTGAGCCCTGCAGTGAGGAGGCTGCAGGCTGCAGCTCCTGCAGGTGACCTGCAGTGGCAGCCTGAGAGGCTTCCCAGCCCCAGGGCTGTGTTACCATGAACTGCTGAGAATTCTTCCTCCCTAAATCCCATTGAATTCCTTGTTTGAGAAACCACAATCACACTCCAAGTATCATCTTTTCATTTCCATCCTCTCCAAAGCAAAGTATGTGTAAGCAAACTACATTCTTTTGTTTGCTAATTGGACTATGTCTTAATGAATAACTTGTGCCACAGTGAGAGCTAGGCTGGAGGGTGTAGTGCTTGGGCATGTGGGTGAATAGCAAGGAGGGTGTAAAGGAGACAGCAAACCAAGCAGCAGTAAACCCTGAGCTGGACCAAGGGATGCAATGTTAGGAGTATTCTGATGAGAAGGAAACTCCAGCCTTGCTGGCAGAGGATGAAACACCTCTCTGCCATGCTGAGAAGAGTAAATAAAATAGCTTTAGCATCTTCACTCTCTTCTAGAGCTGCAGCTCTGTGTGCGTGGAGAGATCTGTAACCCCCCTTGGAGGCAAAGCAGCCTGTGGTTGGTATCAGTTGCCCTCACACCTGCAGCACCTGCACTTACTGCTGTTCTCACAGAGGTTCTCTCCCTCTGAGTTAAGATTCGAGATGAGATGTGAGATTGAACGGCAGAAAATGTGGTTGTTTTTCTGGAGGGCTCAGCTGGTGGTGTCTGCAGGTCTGAGAACAGGCAGGAGCAAAGGGAGTTAGGAGCAGCACGTGGAGGTGGTGTCTGAAGAATTCCCTGCAGCAG